CGCGTGCCTAGCCCCGCATCACCGACGGTGCCCCGACACCCTCCGCCGGCTGCCCCGCCTGCCTCCGCCGTGCCCTTGTCATCGCCAGCGGTCAAGCGCCCGCAGTGCCCGTTCGAGCGGCGCCCGCGCCCTGCGCCCTTTTCCCGTTCGCCCGCCCCGGTTGGGCTGGGTCCCTGACCAGTGGGGCCAGCCCCGGATTAGAACGAAACGGATTATAAAAAAGTGAATAAAAAATGTTAGAGTAAATAAATTAATAGTTAATTATTTAATCAATTAACAAGTTAATTAAGTTAATCAATCATGTTTAACTAATCTAGTTAAAATAAATTAGCCTAATCACTTAGTTAGCCTAATTAACCCGGTTTAGTTAACCTAAGTCTGTGACGAGTGGGACCCACGTGTCAGTTTGACCGATCAACGGTCAGAGTTGACCGCTGACGTCATGCTGACATCGTGTTGACGTCATAATTGTATTTTCTAAATTAATTAGTTCTGTTAATCCTAAAAATGATTTAAATCTTTAAAAATTAATATAAAATAAACCATAGCTCGGATGGGAAAACTTTGTACATGAAAGTTGCTCCGAACGATGAGACGAACCCAAATATGCAGTCTGTTCATCCGCCACACGTCCCTAGCATAGCGAACACGCAATTTTCCCCCTCTGGTTCATCTGTCCGAAAACGCGAAACACCGGGAAAACTTTCCTGGTTGTTTTCCCCCTTCGCCCGTATCACCTCGTACTGCGTTAGGGCCCACCTAGCACCGTTACTTGTCATGTCATGCATCGATATGCATTTGTTTGCATTGTACTCATTGTTTTCCCCCCTCTTCTCTCCGGTAGACTACGAGACTGACGCTGCTGCTGGTGCCCCGATCGACTACGCTGTTGACGACCCCTACTTGCCAGAGCAACCAGGCAAGCCTCCCCCCTTGATCACCAGATATCGCCTATTCTTCTCTCTAGTGCTTGCATTAGAGTAGTGTAGCATGTTACTGCTTTCCGTTAATCCTATTCTGATGCATAGCCTGTCATTGTTGCTGCAAATGTTGATACCTTTACCTGCAAGCCTACATGCTTAGTATAGGTTGCTAGTACTTCATCAGTGGCCCTACATTCTTGTCCGTCTGCCATGCTATACTATCAGGCCGTGATCACTCGGGAGGTGATCACGGATATATACATTCATATTACATACTATACAAGTGATGACTAAAGTCGGGTCGGCTCGTAGAGTACCCGCATGTGATTCCGATGTATGGCTGAAAGGACAGGTGGCTCCATCCAGGTAGTGGTGGGCCTGAGTTCCCGACAGCCCCCAACTGTTACTTTGTGGTGGAGCGACAGGGCAGGTTGAGACCGCCTAGGAGAGAGGTGGGCCTCGTCCTGGTCGGTGTTCGCGGTTACTTCAAAATAATACGCTTAACGAGATCTTGGTATTTGATCTGAGTCTGGCCACTAGCCTATACGCACTAACCAACTACACGGGAACAGTTATGGGCACTCGACGTCGTGGTATCAGCCGAAGCCTTCATGACGTCTTCGACTGAGCGGCGCGCGGCGGGTTGGACTGCGTAACGCAACTTCCTTTGTAATGGAGGTTGCTAGGTCTACTCACCGGCCGCGTACACAATGTGCAGGTTTGCAATGGGCGATGGGCCCAGACCCCTGCGCCATACGATTTAGACCGGTGTGCTGACCTCTCTGTTGTGCCTAGGTAGGGCTACGACATGCTGATCTTCCGAGGCCGGGCATGACCCAGGAAAGTGTGTCCGGACAAAGGGGATCGAGCGTGTTGGGAAATATGGTGCACCCCTGCAGGGAAGTTTATCTATTCGAATAGCCATGTCCCTCGGTAAAAGGACGACCCGGAGTTGTACCTTGACCTTATGACAACTAGAATCGGATACTTAATAAAACACACCCTTTCAAGTGCCAGATACAACCCGGTGATCGCTCTTTCACAGGGCGATGAGGAATGGATTGCCGGGTAGGATTACGCTATGCGATGATATTTGGTTAACTTACCATCTACTCTCTTCTACTGCTTCAAGATGGAGGTTGCTAGAAGCGTAGTCTTCGATAGGACTAGCTATCCCCCTCTTATTCTGGCATTCTGCAGTTCAGTCCACATATACTACCCCTTTCATTTGATACCAATGCATATGTAGTGTAGCTCCTTGATTGCGAGTACTTTGGATGAGTACTCACTGTTGCTTTGCTCCCCATTTTTCTCCTTTCTATACCCGATTGTTGCGACCAGACGATGGAGTCCAGGAGCCAGACGCCACCGTCGACGACGACTCCTACTACACTGGAGGTGCCTACTACTACGTGCAGGCCACTATCGATGACCAGGAGTAGTTTAGGAGGATCCCAGGCAGGAGGCCTGCGCCTCTTTTGATTTGTATCCCGGTTTGTGCTAGCCATCTTATGGCGTCTTGTTTAACTTATGTGTGTACTCAGATATTGTTGCTTTCGCTGACTCGTTTGTATTCAAGTTGATGTATTCGAGCCCTCGAGGCCCCTGGCTTGTAATATAAAGCTTGTATTATTTTTAATTTGTGTATAGAGTTGTGTTGTGATATCTTCCCGTGAGTCCTTGATCTTGATCGTACACATTTGCATGTCTGATTAGTGTACGGTCAAATCGGGGGCGTCACATCGTGCGTCCATGGTGGCACGGATCTGGGGCCGGTGACGAGGGGTGGTCTCCCTGGGCTGCTTTGCAATAAGGTCCGTGTTGCGGCGGCGCCATGCGATAATGCGGCTCCTTGGAGCGCAAGTCACGGCGTCCTGCGAAGGCGGCATGGGAGCATCGCATGGCTTCACCGACGGCAGACTTCGGTCTACTGGGGGTGCGGCTCTGACTGGCCACATGACGTCGTCTGCTCCATGTTGTGTGGCTCCGACAGTTCGCAGGACGCCGAGGCAGCAAGGCAGAGGCTTCGATCTGGGAGCTCTCTGTTGCAGGTTGTGGGTGAATGGAGGTAGGCGGTCCAGCTAGTTTGGTTGGGGCTTCAGATGACAAAACCAGGCGAATACTTGACTATGGTCACGGTCGGAGCCGGCAACGATGGCGTCCGAGGGCGTTTCTACCTTGTTGAATGTGTTGTCATGGTGTGGTGTCTCCCCTACCAATCCTTCTTCAAAGGAAACCTCATATCCTATTCTGGATCGAATGATGGTGGCGCCCTTTCGTCGTGCCCCTCTTGAGGGCTTCGTTTTTGGAGGAGAGGGCAGTTGGAGGGACTAGTGGCGGGTCCGATGTGGCGAGGGTGATTTTTGGACGGTCATGGCGGCGACAGGTGAAGATGTTGGTGTGTGTTGGCATCGAGGCTTCTATGGTGACAATGAGCGATGTCGGGGACATGTCAATGGTTGAGGTAGTCGGCTCTTCTTCAGCGTGTTCATGGGATTGCCTCGGCTTGTTTGTTGCATTAAAGTCGAAGCTGCTGTGGCGGGGCCCGATGGCGTACGATGACGAGCAGGAGGTGGTCCGTTTGGTAATCTTCCACGACGCCAGTCGTGCCTAGTTCTCCTTCGTAATTCTTTGCCAGAGTCGGAGCTACGTTGTCTGGGCGCGGGTGGTTGAGTTCTGGCGCGGATCTTCATATGCTCCACTCGGTCTCTACGGAGTGAGTTGGGTCCACGATCGCCTACGGCGAAGCCGAAGTCGTTTGCTCATAGTTTAGTGATGGCGATGATGCCTTCTAGGGCAGGAGTGATGACGATGACGCCTGCGTGCTGTCTCGACTAGACCCTCTTTGTCTTTGAAGAGGTGTGTGCGGGGTATATTGTGTGTGCCGCTCACTGGTTTGTGATGGTTTTCGCCCGATTTACCACTAATTAACTGGACAATTCTCTTCTGCTCAATTAATGGATCAGGCAAATCTTTTTCCTCCGTTTAAATATAAATAAATAAGGTGAGCTGCACTCTAACATGCTATTTCTCGATCCTCGGGGCGGAGTCGGTTCCACCCCCTAAACCGGATCAGGGAGATGCATCACATTTTCTTCCCGAGTGAGTTGCAACTCAGGGTGGGAATGGGCCGGGTCGCTGATCCAACCCAAAAATTTGAGGCCAACGGGTCATGTTGGGATGTGTTTGGTTTAAGGGACATGCTAGGGTGGTTGTGGGTATCCCCAACCAGGTGGCTAGGGATAGCCCTTTTTTCTGTTTGGTTGGAAGGGTGAGGTTATCCCATGTTTTATTTGGTTCAAAGGATGAAGTATGGTTGAGGATAGCCATCAGAGTGTTTGGTTCGAGGGATGAATGAAGGATAACGGCTGTGATAACCTTTTTTTACTTGAAATGGTGAGATTACCCTCATAATTTGCACTTTTAATGGGAGGAAGGAAAATACAGTATGTATAGACATAATTTCGAAAATCTTAACTTTTTCACAGCAAACAAAACAAAACGATGGTAGAAATTTCGAACTTCATCACATATAATAGTTCAACATTTCATACATAAGTCAAGTGCATAGAACTCATAGTTCAGCATTCCACAGTATGTATAGACATAATTTCGAAAATCTTAACTTTTTCACAGCAAACAAAACAAAACGATGGTAGAAATTTCACACTTCATCACATATAATAGTTCAACATTTCATACATAAGTCAAGTGCATAGAACTCATAGTTCCGCATTCCATAGAGTACTACTAGAACTTAATAGTTATACAACCCATAGTTATTTTCTTGGTTGTCAAAAGAGCTAATCGATACAACCCATAGTTACTGTTTTGGTTGCATCAAAAGCAAAGTCAATCACCAGTTCACCACATATGCACTCACCATCCTTACGCTTCAGGAAATGTATTCTTGACATACCTAGAAACCCAAACCTTCTTTTGATCCTCTTACAACACCTTGAATGCCATAGCAACACGAGGATTGTCAACCAAATATGCATAGTAATGAGCAAGGTACTCCAAACTGAACCCAGAAAGTACTTTCATGCTCTCCCAAAGACCATCTATGGCATTGTTCTAGGTGCTAGAACTCTTCTCTATGGCAATAGCAATTCTTTCACTAGATGCAAGTATGGTGGCATGCAACCTGTCTTCCGCACAAGGATTTGGTTTGGCCTTTTTTGGTTTGGGACCGAATGAACCTGCATTGGTTGATTGTGCAACCTCTTCATGTGGGGCAGTGGGTTTCTTGGTTGTCTCTTCTTCAAGATTAACCACTTCTGTAGCAAGAGGGTCACTTGAGTCTTTTGCATATTGCCCTGTAGCCATGCTCCCTCCAGCTATATTCATCATCTCCTTATAATGAATAATAGTCTTGTTAAGGTACTGTTCGTCCTCTGGATGAGCCTTGTAGAAACAATAAAAGTAATTTCAGTAAGTATTTGGACAAAAAGGAACAATTGCAGCAAGTATTTGAGCATATAGGAAGAATTCCAGCAAGAATATTTTCAGCAAGTGTTGGGACTTGTAGATACTAATTTCAACAAGTACTTGAGCATGAAGAAAGAGGTACATCAAGTTCAGACATTACAAAACCATTTCAGCAAGCACTTTCACGTAAAGAATAATTTTAGAAGTGTTTGGACTTGTAGATACTAATTTCAGGAAGTATTTGAGCATTAGGGAAGAAGTACATCAAGTATTAAACATTACAAAACCATTTCAGCAAGCACTTTCACATAAAGAAAGAATTAAACAAGTACTCATGAGCAAAAAAATAGTTACCTTAACATGATTTGTGTAATGCTCATGATCAAGAACAATCATAGACTTGTCCTCATCCCATAGTGCACCACTCAAGTCCTTGAGTTTCACTATTTTCTGCAGTTTTCGCTTCCATGTCCTATTATGATTTTTAACCTGATCTCCATTCAAGCTAAGTTGGAAATGCTCATTCAAAGCAATGGCACAAGCGTTGAACTGTGATTGCTTGAATGCAGTACTTGTTCTATTGCCACTAGAGACCAAATCACTTAGCCATGTTAGCATGAACTTGGACATGTTAGGTGTCCATGAAACTTGCTTAGCCATTTCCTACAATTTTCAGCAAGTGTTTGGACATTGAGAAAGTAATTTCAGCAAGAATTTGGACATAACGAAATAATTTTAGCAACTTAAATAGTCATTACAATTACAATCTCAAAAAATAATATTTCCTTACAAATAAGTTCCAGCACACAAAATAGTTCAACAAAGTACAATAATTCATCACGACGAGCTAAATGACATAGTAGTTACTACATATTTTGACCTTGCAAATGGTTTTGTCGGTCTTCCCACATTTGATCAGCAACTCCTTGCCTAAAATTAACCATGTATGCATGTTCATGTGCTTGACCACTTGATGATGAAGCATGAGTAATATTTGGCACCCATTCATCCTCGGGTATGATATATTCATCTATCCCATCATTTATAACCCAATTGTGAATAATGCAACAAGCCACAACAATGTCAACTTGTGTTGGAAAGAGAAAGAATGGAGTGGCATCATCAAGTATCTTGAATCTTCTCTTCAATGACCCAAATGCACGTTCTACAGTCACGCGAAGAGAAGAATGCCTAAGGTTGAACAGCTCCCTCTCATTTTGCATAGGGTTGTTTCCCCACTCATTCAAGTGGTACCTCACACCACGAAAAGGAGGCAAAAAACCACGCTTGGCTCCATATCCAGCATCAACTAGATAAAATTTCCCTA